TTTGTTTTACAACCTTGGTCTGCCTTTTTAGAAGCAGCTTTATCCCTACTAGCAGATACTAACCAATCAAAGTTTTGGTCTAAGAAGCTGGAAACAAACGTATTTCTTTGTCATTCTAACTTACTAAATTGTAAGTTTTAATGTCTGCCTTTACACTGACAGTAATGAATCTGGTCTCTTTAATTTTGTGTTCTTCAGGGTACAAAAACCAACAAATAAAGTTGTTTTACAACCCAAGTCTGCAATTTTACAAGCAAGTCTGTATACTGGCTTGGCTGAACAGAATCATAGCTGTAATCTAAGAAAATGCAAACAACCGTATTAATTTGTTGTCCAAACTATCCTTATAAAAGTTGTTATGTAAGTGGTTACATTCTCTGTGTTGGAAATAATCTGTTTATTTCGTGTGTGTCCTATTGTAACGACCAACGAAAAAAAACTGTTTTACAACTCGAGTTTAGCTAGTTTTCAATCTTACAAACAACTTTGCACTGACTAAACTTTAGCGAAGCATAATATGGTAGACCTAGTGAACTTAAAAGCCGAAAACAGCTTTTTCATTTTCATCCAAAATTTTCGTCAATTGATTTGTTGTCCAAATTTCCATAGTAAGTTGTTAATGTTATGTCGGTCGTCACACTCATAATGTTGGATGAATCTAATTATTTTTCTGTATCATGTTCAGGTGTAAAAAAAAAATAATAATAATAATAATAATTCGGTTTAATCCTACTGTTTTGAGTTACTTATGATGTCGGCTGTTACTCTCTCAAAATAGGTTATAAACTATTAGTTTTTGTGCATGAGCAGTTGTAGTACTGAGGTACGAAAGAGAATCACCAACGCAGTGGGGCAATGTATGAAGATCTACTGATCACAGTGAAGAGACGAAAATTAAAATGGTATGGGCATGTCACAAGATCCACAGGACTTGCCAAAATAATCCTGCAAGGAACCGTACAAGGAAAGAGAAAGAGAGGAAGGCAGAGAAGGAGATGGGAGGACGGCATTACAGAGTGGACAGGAAAGACGATGGGTGAAAATCTGAGGAAAACAGTGGACAAAAATAGATGGCGAGAGCTAGTTTTCAGATGCAGTGGTGCCTCCACGGTTGACCCGACCACGGGATAGAAGAAGAAGAAGAAGAGTTATAATAACCAACATATTGTGTTTTACCATAGGTGCCAGTATTTTATATGCTTTTTTGCACGGTTAAACCATATATCCCAACATAAATATCTTATGAAAAACTGGAATCATCAGTTATTCTTTTTTTTCTTGCTATTTCAGTAATTTATGCTGTCGGTCGTTACACTTTTCGTTATATTTTTATAATCTATTCATTTTTTTGCACGCCTAGTTGTATCAACGAACGCACCATTGTGTTTTACCACAGATTGTTATCATTTCATAGGCTTCTTACGGATAAACTCTATCCAAGCTTAGATGTGTTATGACAAACTTAAAGCATCTGTATTTCTTGGTCCTTCAACTACTTCTGTAAATTATGCGGTCAGTCGATCGATACTCTCTGAGTAATGAATGATTATGATGCATTAGTGTTTGTGCATGCCTAATCTAACAAGCACTCACAATTGTGTTTTACCACAGATGAGAGCAATTTTATAGGCTTCTTTGTACGGCTTAACTTTATGTGTTCTGATAGCTGGAAATATCTTTATTTCTAGGTCCTTCTACTACATCAGTAAATTGTGCGATCGGTTGTTACACTGTCAGTGATAGTAACATTGTAATCTATTAGTAGGCCTAATTTGTGTATGCCTAATTATACAAACCAATACATTACCCCCCGCCCGGGGCGGTGCTACTGACTGAAGTGTTTTAGGCCATTCCCAAAGGGGGGACATTAATATGTTATGCACTGTAGAATTGTAAATGGGCTGACTCATCAAAGCCATGCTCATAACTATGCCAGCACTGCAACAGGGAACTGATACTTTTTCTTTCCTCATCCCTAATATCGTCATTTTGCCTCTACTTCTTTTGTTGTATGTTTGTAACACTCTTGTGACCCGCTATTTCCGGGGTGCCTTGAGTCGAAGCACACTATAATGTGCTGTTGAAGCTAGAGAGGTGAGCAGAGTAAGCCTGATTCCCTGTAAGGACTTCAATCTTTGTTGACATTGACATCCCACCCCTTGGCGCTCATATGACCGTATGCAGTTGCGAGCGCCGTAAAACCTTACTAAAAACCCACTAAACTAAACCAATACAGTACTGTGTTTTACCAGAGGTACGAGCTTTTCACTGATATTTCTAATTTACATTACTTTATCCGTCCTCTTGTACCTCTAGGGCGTCGAGGGGAGTCAAAGAACTTCCTGTCTCTAGCAAGTTTGATGGCCTGGCTAGGTGGGATATTATGTGCTCAGGGTATCCTTCACACCTTGGATCCAGGTCTTCCTCTTGCCTTGTACCCTGATACTTTCTTGAAGTAGGCGTTACTGGCAAGCTGGTTAGGTGACATACGTGTGAAGTGTGAAGCCCCGGTTACACGCAACGGTAAATTGTACAAAGACTGGACGATCCATCGATCACGAGACAAATCGTCAGGTGTAACCACAAAATTGTACAAAGTTTGGGCGATGGCTTGGAGACTCGATCGAGAAATCAAGAGCTGCTTGATATTTTCCGTGCGATCATGGTCAGATTGGGGGGGGGGGGGGGGAGACACGCTGTGAACTAGAATAACTTTAAACTTTGACGCCGCGCAGGATTAAACTTAGGGCGCAAAATTTTAAAAATAATTACATGTATCGCATCTTAAAACTGATTTCATTTCGGAATCAGCGCCTCAAAATAAACAAAATATCTCGCATCGAACCTGATTTGATGCTAAATTGTGTAAATTGTAGTATTATACAAATAAATTCATCGTCAATGGTGAAGTGCATCTAGGTCACTGGGGGCGTTGCACATCTGCAGTCGAGTCAAAGTTTCTCTTTTTACACACAAAACGGTACAGTAGTATGGCCACCCTTTTCTAAAGACACTGTTCTGCTATTTCAAAATGTACAGCGAAGGGGGTGGGGTTCTTGTGATCTAGAGGTACATTGTTCATCCTTCATTCATTAGGTCCCGAGCTCAAAACCTTCACATAGAGTGCAGGCAAATCGCTGTCGTTGCAAAGAGACCTGGTGGCTTTATGACGAGGAATCTCCTTGATCGAAAGAAAACTGGACGATAGATTGGAACGTGTAGTGTAAACAGACAACACAGTTCGATGAAACGGGCGGCTCTCGCATACGACGAACGAATCTGATTAGTGATACATACTAACACAACCGGGGCTTGAGATGTCCTAACCACCTGATTGTTTGCCTTCGAATACAGTAACTCTGATCTTGGTGTTTCTGACCTTGCCCCGTCTGGTTTTGTTGACGGCTCTCCTCCTAAGACATCTCACAGGTGGTTATCTTACGTTCCAGACTTTTGGTCAGCGTCCATGCGTGGCACTGGTAGGTCAAGGTGGGGGATGAAGATAGAGTTAATGAGCTTGGATTTGGTCTCCATGGGGATGTTAGGATGTTTGAGGAGTGGGGCAAGCTGGTAGCTGACGCTGTTAGCCTTTTGTACATTCGTCTCAATATATTTCAACTATTTCCGTAAATTGTGCGGTCGGTCGTTACGCTCTTCAATGATAGTTATATACATGGTATGTAATATATTAGTATTTGTGCATGCAAAGTTGTACAAACTAACACATTACATGTACTGAGTTTTACCACAGGTACGAGCTTTTCAATAGCTTCTTTGCACGAATAAACTCTAAGTTCTAAGCCTTGATGTGTCTTGAAAAGCTGGAAGCATCATTGTTGAGTGAATTATGCGGTCGGTCGTTACACTCTCAGTATTCGTTATAATCTATTACTTTTTTTGCATGCCTAGTTGTAGCAACCAACACATTATTGTGTTTTACCACAGGAGCTTCTAGGCTTCTTTGTACAGTTAAACTCTTTCCGAGCCTAGATGTGCTCTAAAAAGCTGGATGCATCTTGAATATTTAGGTTCTTCTGCTTTTATCACTGTAATTTGCGCGGTCAGTCGTTACACTTTCAGTGATGGTTATAATCTCTATAAGTATGTTCATGCCTAGTCGCAACAGACAACACATTATTGTGTTTTACCACTGGTGCTAGCATTCTACAGGCGTCTTTGTACAGCTAAACTCGACCCAGGCCTAGATGGGTTCTGAAAAGCTGAAAGCATCTTTATTCCTTTGTCCTCCTATTTCAGTTGTAAATTATGCAGTTGGTAGTTACACTAAGAAATGGTTATTATAATCTCCATATTGTATTCGTTTTTGTGCTGCCTCGTAATAACGAACACACCTCCAGAGCTGAAAGGGATACAATAACCCAGCAGAAAGACAGAGATACTCTCCACTCATGAATTGAACTTGGTTCTGCTGCGGGTGATGTCGAAGCGCCGAACCACTGCTCCACTGACGTCGTTAAGAGGGTTTTTTTTTTTTTTTTTTTTGGGGGGGGGGGGGGGGTTCCCGTACACGTAAGTTTAAAATTTTAAGGCACTGGCAACACAATGAGGTCATAATGTAAATATGTAAGTGCTAAAGATAAGAGGTGTCTTTAGTTTTGATAAGAGTTTTACGGCACTGGCAACATATAAGTGCCGAAGATTAGATGTGTTACAAGAGAGTAACAAACAAAAAAAAGGAGGAGAGACCACGACAATAGGTGTTTGATAGGAAAAAAGAAGCAAATCACACCAGAGCAAGATGTTTGATAGGAAAGAAGAAGCAAACCACACCAGAGCACCCGCCAACAACAAACACGCCTTGTTCACTTGTTTGAGAAAATAAAGAGACACACATCGACACAATAATGGTCACTGTGGAAAAAGTAAGACAAGACAGAAACAACTGAGGGGAAAGTCAAGAAGTAAGAGTAAGACCTGCCAACGGCGCCCTCCAGCTACCCGCGGAAAACATCTTGAAGAAATAAACAACACAACAAGGATTGGTGTATACTTGGTATATTTAATAGCTCTGAAACCAATGTAATGGTCACATCATACGATCCTTATGTTCTAATCACCTTGCAAAATGCTAGTGAATTTCAGTGCTCTAAAGGCCACCGTTACATCATCATAAGATGGCCCACCGGAGTCGAAGAGCAATTCACCAGGATTCTGGCTGGGTGCTTTTGTTTTCACATCGAGCCTAAGACATGACATTTAGTTTGACTGACTTCATAACCAGTGTGTCCAAGAATAGTAATAAATAAATAAGGGGAGGGTACTAAATCAGCAAAGGGAGGGGGGGCGGGGCTCGTAGTCAACTCGGTTGTGAAATTTAAGAAACTTCATGAGGAAATAAGTATAAGGTACAAAAAAAAAAATACACTCAAATTAGACGAAGGGTTTAGGTAGACAGGAGGAGAAAACTTCAAAGAAGGAACATGTTGTGGTGACATAAGGGGCAGAGGGTGGACTCACAAAGCATAAAAAACACAACAAAACAAAACATGACCATACAAAGCAATTAAGCTAGAGCTGCACCTCCCAAAAAAATGTCCAAATCGACTCGACTCATCACATGACTTGTCCATATTTTTACAATAAACAGGAAATTTACAAGAGGAAATACGGGTTATGGTACCAAAAAGAATGAGATATCCATAATATATCGCAGCCTGATATTCAAAGATACTATTACTTCCCTTGTTCTTCCAGCTCACCACTACTCTCGGACCACTGAACTACAACACTCCCCACATGGTATATCAACCCCGCCAGGAGCCAGCGTCTCTTCAATCACTCGTTGCTTCAGGCTTTCAACACACGCCTGTACATGATGATGATGATCAACTTTCGCCGATATCCCCCAACACTGCAACTACTCGCCTTAGGCAAGCGACCACACTGACCATACCTTTCTGAGAGTGAGAGAAAAACACCTTGATGGAGGAGCGCTTGTGGTACAATGGTTGAGATTTATTATTTACTTTGGAAAAAAAAAAATCCCCAAAACACAACAACCCCTCTCGCCTTTTCCCAAAAGATTTTGACTACTGGTGATGGACAAATTCTTAGGAGTGCTGGTGGTGGGATGAGCATTTTTTGAATTCCTGTTATTTCAACAAAATAGTACAAAACATCATCAAACTGAAGAAACATCAGACACTTACTTTAAAAAAATGTTTCAACCTAATAATCAAATATATTTGCCAACACCTGTGCTGAAAATAAAGTCTTGAAACAAAATATACAATAAAAGGTTATCACTTAATACGTTGACATCATCTATAACATTTCTAAGCAGTCTAACTATCCCAATTTTATTTACTATACTCCAAGGGCACAGTTGGGGGAGGGGGGGAAGGGGCGGCTTATGATAAGAGTGATTATATGTCCAAGTAATCATACGAACATGCAGCTCCCAAAGATAAAACATAACCCATAAACATTCAACAATCATTAGGAATGTGCTTTTCTTTATGAATGACTCTCAGAAACAAAAAATCTTCTGATGCAGTGAGTATATGCGAGGTTGGGAGTAGGTAATAAGAGCAGAGAAAAAGAAAACAAAAACAAAACAAAACAAATGCGTGTGGAAATGACCAAACAAACAAAAGACAACCAGAGTTCACAGTCAGCTTCCTCCACAAAACCAATCTCACCTGACATGATCACCATTGTTATCATCACAATCTGTGCCCAAGACGAAGAAAATTTTTTTTTTCACAAACAAAAAATAGTTCTGTATGACGGCATGAGTTAAATTTAAAAAAAAAAAAAAAGCAAAAAATTTTTAAAAAGTAAAACTTGCAAGTCATCATTCATCTTATACGTGATTCTACTGTCTAAGATTTATAATTACATGAAAAAGAACCACATCAACAACACCAACAAACGGTGAAATCCATGCCAGGAAGAACACTGGCCTAACATATCACTACAAGAGTTACAATAGTAAAGGACTAAGTATCACATCCCGGCTCCATTCTCCCATGAAAGACCCACACAGACCCAGGGAAGAACCGTTCCTCCGCTATGTGCCAGCACCATAACCAACATCTGTAAAGCACTCAAGACTTCCATTATCCAGACATATTGGGTTACTGTATTGTCCTATAGACAGGACTGGTACTGACGTTCGGGTGCTGTTTCTTCGCCCTGGTGACAAAGCCAGTCATTCGTGGGAGACGATACATGTCTAAATCTATTCATAGTGGACTACTAGATGTCGATGGGGGGAGATTACAAGCTTCACACAAAAGAAGAGAGGAAACGGCTGGTGCAGAAGGGAATGAATGTTCCATGGCCACAGTCAACAAACAGTAGCAGAGACCAGTGAACAACTGTACGATCGCTACTACTGCTGCTGTAAGTTTTGTGAATCAGTGTAGTGACTAACACAGTGCCAGACTTTCTCAACAGACAGTTCACAAGGAGTATCTGTGTTCCCTCCCTTGTTGCTCTGCTCTCACATTGAGGAATTACGATTTTTTTAAATAAAAAAAAAGAAGAAAAAAAAGACCCCATTAGTTATATATCTACAACAGACATGAATCAAGGCTGATGTATTTCTCACGCTCACGTGACAACGGGCGCCACATATACCACTGAGCTTGGCCAGGCCAGGCTTTCAATTCCACCATCACTTCTCCGTGACAATCTCACCTACCAAGCTCATGGCAACCAGCACTGGCTGCACTTTTGATTTCTCTCCCCCAGTTGTCATTTACAGGACGCCAACAGTACAACTATCTCTCCCATACATTCTGATTACTGTATTAGAGAAGGTGGGCCAAGCAAAAAAACAAACAAAAACAAAACAAAAATGTGATAGAACCACCATAAAAAGGCCTAAAACAAACATTAGAAAAACATAAATGTCGCGAGTCATGCGTGATGAATGACACAAACACGATTTGAATATTCACGAATGCAGTGGTCCTTTAAAAGGCAACATTCTCCAGACAGCATTCGCCTACATGCTACGCTCACACACATTGCTCTACAATGTAACATCTTATACTTGACAATATCCAGTCTAACACGACCACATGCATTTTCATCACAATCAGAGCACGCTATAGTAAAGTAAATGAAGTGAAGAGAGCGAACAGGTCACTGATTGCACACAGGGCGGGCCATCAAAGGCCATGTTTTGTTTCATTGCTACATACACAAGATATGATCTGCAAGTCTATATGGAGTGACAGGAGTTTAAAACAAAATTGTACAGTTCGATGACAGGTTGAAGAATACAGGTAAGCGGAATCCACACTCGCTCACAAGCAAGGGAAGCACACCACTCCCGCAGCTGTTGACCTCAAACTCCTTACTAAAAATGGGTGTCTAGTGAAAATGTCGATGGCTCTTCTCACCGGCACCTTACACAGGTGGTAAAGGCTTACTGACAACACACACACACTCTCCGGTCAATGCCCATCACACAACCTACCAAGCTCTGGTTTGCAAGCTTTTTGTGCATTTATATTTCAACAACAGAGCAGCTGTTGAGTTTGATCAGGTCATTTTTCTAAACTGAATCTCAAAACAGGGTTTTCTAAATCTGAATACTGTTTCGGGGAATCCATGAATTCTAGTCACTTTCTTTAGGGACCATATCAGTTCTTGTCATATAAACATGTAACACATCCCCAGTTCGGGGAGCCAATCCCATATGATGGGAGTCAAAACAAGACATTCAATACATTCGAGGGAATAATACCCACTGCCCAGAGCCACGCTCTTGCTGCACCATCACAATGCAAACAAAATCGTTCAAGTAAATCATCACAAAATTCAATGTTTGCTTATAATAATTATGGTCGAAAACAAAAACATGATGACATTCATGACAAATCTTTGATTAAAAAAAACTGTATACTTTAAAAAAAAAAAAATTAATGAAAAAAGGTGTGATGTGACAGTTCTGTGCAAAATGGCGGAATCTGTAGTATCTTTACATCCCGTGAACTGACATGAAAACCCACACGTGCTCACCACATTGCAGTCATTCACTTCCCATCCTCCCTGTCCTAATGCTGAACACTGCAACCGCACACAAAAATAACACTAGACCGCTGCGCGCCTGCACTGCATCCTCTTTGTGTTTTGTATGTGCATGCCTAGTGCAAAACAGGATCTCTTTGCAAGCGCCCAATTTTCCAAAATTTTGCAAATACTAGTCAATCAAAAAATGTTCTTTTTAATGCTGCAAATTTTTTGTAAAGCTGTGAGCATTGTAAGTTTTATTCACAAATCATGAAGACACGACAGTCTTGAGGAGTTATTTTTAATGTTCTGCGTAGCAATTTGAAACTTTGTTATGGAAAAAGGGTTGCTCGCAAAAAAACACCTGTTTTACAGTACGTGTTATGTCCTGTGTGTCTGTATGTAGTTTCCAAGGTGCAGAAGGAAGTGGGTGGGTCGCACACTGCTGCTTTACATGCTGTAGCCATATCCAGGCATGGGTGCACCGGGCATAGGTGCACCGGGCATGGGTGCACCTGGCATGGGGGCACCTGGCATTGGAGCATAGCCATAGCCAGTCTGTGGTGGTGGTGGGGGGGTCATGCCCATGGGGCCTGCTGTCAACATGAGTTGGGGCTCATCTGCAAAGGGAAAAAAACAAAAACATGTACCATGAAAAGCTGTGCAGTTACTCATGAGCACTTGTACAGAAAATGTTTAAGGACTGTCAGCAAACCGCTTTATCGCAGCAAGACAAAATTTTCACCAATAGCGATAAACAAAAAACATAAAGACCGCTTTCTGAAGAGACACTAGACACTTTAAGTCTGAAGTTGAAATACTAAAAACGCTACATCAAAAAACTTTACTTTTGTTCTTCCACAGTTAGAACACCCCAACTCTTCAAAGTATGACTGGCCTCTTAACATTTCCACCCACGCAACGCGCAGGGCGTACCTCACTTGTCCCCATGGACCAGGATGCAGATGGGCCACATCAGTACTACACCTGTATCTTTGCACAAATACCTCAACCATTACTAAAATTTCAGCATGCTGAAAAAATTGAAAGTGATTATCGCACGTGCACCAAAAAGGAAATTAGAATCACAACTGAAAACCTTAGATCTAGCTCACTCATCACCCGAATTCTCACCATGGCGTAAGAGTAAAACAGCACTCATGCTAGGTCTACTCGACGTTTTTCCAAAAAATTTGCCCCAAATGTTGTGCACAAACTGATTTTTGACCTTAAAGGCCACACAAACTATTCAGGAAAGAAATTTAACTTTAACAAGTGCGCATGTCTAAAATGAGATCATTACCACGTTTTTGTAGCTATATCACACCGTCGCCGATCGGTGTCCCATGGGGAAAAGGGAAGGCTTCTTACCGTCGCTGATCGGCGTCCCGTGGGGGCAAAGTGTTAAATTTGACAAAATAAACACACATGCGTGAGTTTGCAGACTTAAAAAACAATCTGAACCATGCAAGACACATCACGAATATACATTCAAACGGAAATGCTTTGAGCCACTCACTGAGCACAATTGGTCTTTCCTCAGCCTTTTGTTCTTCTTCACTTCGCACAGATTCCGACTGTTCAAGTTTGTCAACCTGAGGTGAAAAAAAAAATGAATTTCATTTACACATGCAAAAGCAAAGGCAACTTGACACAATGCGGGAAAAAAACCCAGAAATGAATCAGAATAAACCAACCATGTCAAACTTTCTTAACCCTGTGCTAAGTTATTATTCCAAGAAGAGATTTAGTTTTGTCTTAGTAACAGTTTTAAGTCACTTGTAAAACAAATAGATCATGCAAGTGCTGAAGATTAGAGGTGTTACTAGAGAGTGGCATATAAAAAAAAAAATAAGGAGGAAAGAAAAAGACAACACATGTTTGATATTAGAGAAGGAGCAAACCACACCATATCACCCGCCCACCACCCACTTCAAGGATGTAAAGCAGGTCTCTTTTTCAATTAGCAACGTCTGTGCTAGTAAACATGTGGATGGTGTGCAAGGCCTTTTCAATCACGCAGCACGCCACTAACAGGTTAAATGGTACCCCAAAAGAGTAAAGAAAGCGATAGAAAAATAAAGATAACCCAGTTATACAGAAGTTTGATTGACAATCTCTCACGCTATGAAAGACTAAATAACAATAAGCATCTAGTCAGCACTTGAACAGCAACATATAACAAGACAGGGATTAGACCCACAGTAATAAGGAAAACAGGAAAAAAGGAGCAGACAAAATTAGATCTCCCACAAACAACCCATGACCCAATAGAGAAGACTGGCGCAAAGAACACAAAAACTGTGCACAAAACACATCACAAGGCCCTACCTTTGAGGTGTACTCTCTCATGACTTGGATCATGTAGGGCATGGCAAAGTCCATGATGTTGTGTCTCCAGGCAAGCTCCAAGATAACATCCGGTCGCAACAGGTCATAGCATTGGAAGAGACAAGCAGCAAAGCACTCGTGGTTTCCATTTTCAAGGAACCATGAGATGAGATCCTCAGCAATCTCAATCTGGCGGGATTCTCCTGCATAGCTCATGGCATCCTGTGAAGCAGAGAATGATTTTTGGATGAGAATATACCATCAATATATTCCAATAGTGCCCCCCCCCCCCCCTCCCCCAAAGTCATATATGATTTTTTTTTTGTAATTTTGAAAGAAAAACTTCCCAATTCCGCGTCTTTTGAAGTCATGCCTAGATCACTTCTATAAAAGGACTTGGAACTTTGGTGCTGCAGTTACTTAGTTTTATGAAGTGGTGGTAAGCCACCACAAAAAAAGTCATAACCAGTTCTGAACCACTATCGTAAAACACTGATGCTATACATCATTAGGACCTTTATTTTGGACAAGATGAATACAAGAGGAGTTCAGACGAAATATGATGATGCTAAGTTTCACCTGTGGTTACAATGGTAACCTAAATGTTAAGTCATATTTTTTCAGCATTTTCTTAAATTCTGTTCTGCCATGGAAATAAAACTTCATACAAGTCATGCGAGTTTGTGTGCATTCAAGCACTTTATTTTCCAACATTTTCTAACATTAAAGATATTTTGACAAACAACTGCTATAACTGGTGAAGCCCTCCCTTAAGCCTTGCTTAACTTTTTCAAATTTAAAATTCATACCTTGAACAACTTGTCTTTCTTGCACAAGTCCACACTCTGCTTCCAGCGGTTGTTTCCTTTGTAGAGGTAAGCAGCAATACGACGGAACTCGATCAGTTCGTGCTTCTCCAGTCGTTGAGCCAACGCAATGTTGTCAAAGTTATCATAAGCATCAATAGAGGCACGCAAGCCCTGGTTGTACAAAGAAAAAGTAGACAAAATCAGAAATACATTGATGAAACACCTGATCTAAACTTGACGAAGTAGAGAATGCATTTTAAAAGTCTTGATATTCCTACACAGTTAAGAAGATCTGAAAAGGGAAAAGGTCCAGGTCAAGAGTTGGGGAACCTCTCATTAACTGATTTTTAAAAAAAAGATTACACAGAAAAAGTAAATTATCATGAAGGCTGTCCCTCATTTTCTGAAACAGAGGGAGACCATAACAAGAGAAATGTGAGAAATCATTCCACTGGCTATATGGACAGGTCCAGTCACAAGTGGTCTGGATACAGTTTTAGAAACACATGGAATAGCTTATCCCAGCAGCTCATTTATCGGCAACTACTGCCACAGCTACATGCATGAAATAGTCTCACCAAACATTCTCCAGTTCACAGCAAAGCTAAAACCTAACCAACATGTAGACAGCTCAAGAAATAAGAGAGAAGTTCAATGCATGAAAAAACTGTTATTTAAAAATTCACCATGTCATCTCCCACAAGCACATTGTTCACTCCTCAGAACACTCTTCCATTAACTTAATAACGTTTCGTATCTAGAACTATTTCAAAAGTTATTTCCACACACGGCAACCTCCAAAAACACTTACTTGATAATCTTCCTCCTCAATGAAAAGGTTATTCAGAGCTTCATTGATTGCTTTGTTGTTGTTCTTCTGCACAGAGCGCAGGTATGGCTTCACAAGAGGAATCTGGTTCACCTACAAGACAGTACCCAAACATCAGTTTCAATTCATAATTTTTAAAAAGTTACAAATCAGAATGTACCACAAAAAAGTATGGGTTCTTTCTATCCTTTTTTTTTAATGGCCATGGTGGTACACCTTCAGGCAGAAAAAAGCAGAACCATCTGAATATGTGACCCATGACAGCTGTTTTCATGACATTTAAAACATATCCGAATAGGCAATAAAATCCTCTTAAAATGACCATTGGTTAAACAGAAAAATAATAATACTCTCACTTTTTTTCTTTTCTTTGCAAAGCTTTTCCGAACTGAAAATTCATCTAAAACTGGAAACAAAAATCAAGTGGTCCCACAGATTAAGATTAAGCGGATTCCATGATATATGATTACCTACACTTTTTCTCATTAGAATATACTCTCAACCAGCTGCCCAAGTCTTACTGAGAGACAAAAACATTAGCAAGCACAAATTTAACTTTCCAAAGAAAAAGCCAACAAGACAGCATAATCTGGTCTCACCTTCATGAAGAAGTTGACAGCGCGAGTGTGGTCCAGCCTGGGTGTGAGCACCATGAGCAGGTCGTTGAGCAGCATTGGCTTGAAGTCCAGGTAGAACTGAATGGCCTTGTAATACAGCTCAATATTTGCAACCTGAAAAACGACAAAATTATGCATTCCTTATGAAATATGAACTTGAACCATCGTCATCATCATCTGCCTCCCTCATCCCCTTGCAGAGTAACGGCCGCTAACAAAAGCTCTGCGTGTACTTGTCCTGGGCTATAGTGTCTCCACCGTTGTCAAGCTGTATCCCATCTCCTTCAGATCTGAATCTAATTTCCTCCTTCAAGTACCTATTAGCTTTCCAAACCTGGATCAATCAAAACTTACTGCAACCCTGGCGGGGAAGAGGAAACCCCATCCTGAGATGAGAGCAGGTTTGTACAAATGGAACCTTCAATTCTACATTTCAATTTCATGAGGATATCAATGTAACTACATAAAGCACACATCATTTTTAGTGGCCCTACTCAAGACCTGAGACTAAAGAAACCCAGAGATAATCACTCTTTTTTTTAAATCCTGAGATTAAACCACAAACAGGACATCTTACCCTTGAAGAAAAAAATTATTTCAACAAAACATTAAAACTTCACGACTAATTATGGTTTATCAGTAAATCTTTAAAACTCAATTTGGGAAAAACCTTTTTTTAAAAAATAAAAGTTTAAACTTATGCCAATCTATTTCTCTTCCATAATCTTTTTTTCATTTAAATGTTACTTAATCATTATAAGAAAAGTTGGGAGACTTAACGCCCTTGTATTCCGTAACTGCAAATCTTTTCAATCCGAAAAAAAAAAAAAAGCAAACAAGCTTCAATCAGCAGCTTACCTTGGTGATAATATCTTTGAACTGGGGTTCCCTCCAGGCTTCAGTGGGATGAGCCATGATGGTGAGGATGGCGTTGTCGAACTCGTCATACTTATCGTACAGGAAAACCAGCTCTGGCCACAAATGAGCCTGCTCTGCAGCGCGGAGGACCTGCAACAGACATCAAACCAATGGGTGACGTGTGTTTTTTTACCATGAGACAGAGAGAAAAGCAGAAAACACATCCACACATTTAAGATCGTTCAGTGCAGGAGGTGGGGTGGAGGACCTTGATGAATAGAGACAACAGAAATCTACGAAAAAAGTACCAGCCAGAGATTTTTTTCTGCAGTTTTAATAACCAAACCACACTGTTAACAACACATTCGTGATTTTTTTAACGATACAAAATTTCATGGAAATACAAAAACTAAATCCCTTTATAATTAACTATACAGACTAAATTCCTTTATAGTGAACCCTGGGGCAATTCAGGACAACCTCCCTACTCATTATTTTGTTTTAGTAAGCATTTTACGGTACTCACAACAATAAAGGTCATACATATGCCGAAGATTAGAGGTGTTACAAGGGAGTAACAAACACCAAAAAAAAGGAGAGATAGGGACGATAGCTATTTGATAGGAAAGATGGAGCAAACCACACAAGAGCACACATCAACCACCCATCATCCATACTCTATGTCATGGCATCAAGTAGATGGGCGAGAGCTTAAATAACTGCGAGATCAGGAAAAGTAACGCTGTAGTAAAGTAAAAAGTCGTTAATCCGTTGTAGCTTACAGTAAGCCAACATAAAAACTGCTCCAAAGTAATTCACAGTACAACCTGAAAGAATCAAAACACAAAAAAAGCCTACCTTTGGAATGTTCACTCTCGACCAGAAGAGCTCCAAGTGCTCCCTCATTTTCTCTGGTTTGTATTTGGAATACAAGATGGCCAATTCCGTGAACATGCCCATATGTGCCCGCTCCAAACCTGAAATGAAGACACCCCATTTTAAGTGAGCTACCTTATTAATATTTTAACACACTGAGCTAGCTTGTAACATTCACTACAATTAATGACTGTGTAATTAACATCTACTGTAAGATTGTTGAGTAGGTGTTTCACTGCAAGCTAAAGTGGACTGTCCACAATGGAAAAAGAGTGAAAAGGGTATTTTTTAAGATATCACTTAAGTTCTTTTAGAAAACCAACAATTTCATCTGACAGACATTTGCCAACCATCACATGGACAGAGACAATGTAGTGACAAGATTGCCTTGATACCTTAGCTATAGTCCACAGCAGTCAAAATCAACAGGCTTTGACAAGCACACAGAAATACACACACACATATTGGTTACTTACCTAAAGCTGATTCCAACAAAGCTATCAACTCCTCGAAGTAGCCTCTGTCTTGATAATAATTGATTAGTTCCTCTAGTTCATCAGCATGCACCACTATATGTAAGCCACACATCTGAGCCAGTCTGAATTCCTCATTATCTACACACGCAAAGCACACCTGGAAAAAAAAAATCCTCATATTTACCTTTACGATAACTGTCTTTAAAAAGAGTTTGCAAGACACGAATAAATGAACAACAACCACATGGATTACTCAAAACAAATGACAACGTGCACTCAATTGGTCAAAAGAGTAGTGGGGTCAGAGTGAAAAAATGGGAGAACACAAAGGACACGTTACCAAAGGCAAAATTACCATTGCAGAATTTGTTTATAACATTATTTAACAAAAAGAGGGATGGCCTCAACTACAGACACTGGAAGTACTGAATGAAGATATATCTTATAAAGATAAAAAGGAATTCTGGGGATTAAATAGAAAATAAACACATGAACTCACTTCTTTCCATGTCTTTGTACTGTTGGCTTTCCTTGCACTATCTACAGCTCCTTGATACTCGCCCAGGTGAACCAACGTGATAGCAAGACGGGCATAGTTGGAGACATTGTTGTACAAGAGTTTAGCTGCTTCGTACATCTTATCATCAAAGCAGCGATCTGCGACCTGGGCAAGATGACAGAATTTTAAATGTTACTAACAATTATGAAAGCATACATGATACGAGCAACATTTTAAAACAAACTCAAGTCACATCAATCACTCCCACAACCATAACGACACACTGAAATTGTACACATCTTTCAACTACAATTAACGTGATCTTTTATTTTGATGATAAAACGTAGAAACTGCCATTCAATCTGTACATGCGATATAAAGAAAAGATGTTTAAAATATTGTCAACACTACAAATGTACTTCTGCACCTTATAAACATGTGCTGTTCTGATTGAAATAATAGTACAGGCAGTGTTTAACCCACCCACAAAACAATTAAATCCTATAACTAATCACACTCAAGCCTCACCTGAGTTATATTAGCATGATTGGGTCCTGAAACAAACTCTTCCATGTCTGCCAGTCTGTTGGTTTTTGCATATGCGTACACCAGTTCTGTTTCCACAAACGTCTCTCTTGCCTTCTTCCTTGCCATTTGCAAAAATTTGACCATATCTTCCCAGTTATCTGAAGAAACCAGACATCAGAGTAGAGAGTGAACATGAGGGAAAGTGTCAAAGTCCTCAGGCACTATCAAAGCTATTATTGGCTGTTTGGCACAGTGACATTTATTACCCTTTTTGTGATTGGTTGGAGGGTGCTCTGGTGGGGTTTGTTCCTTCTTTCCTTGCAAACATTTATCGTCCTTACCTATCCTCCTCCTTTCCTTTGTTACTCTCTTGTAGCAACACTTTTAATTTTCTGCATTTTGGTATGATCAATTTGTGTTGCGAGTGCTATAAACTTACTAAAACAAAACCTTTTCTAAAAGATGCACCTTGAAGTCCCCAGTATATCCCAAAGAGGACAAATTGTGTGATTCCATGAGGTACCAGGCACTGAAGTGGTGTAAAAGAACTTATAAAAATCCTTGAATGGAATCAGCAAACACTGCTTGAAGACTTTCTCATCTCCACAAGCATGAATGGATAACAAAAACAACCCAGAGTGAAAACCACGAACAGAAGATAATGGTGGTCTTCTCTTTGTAATTAAACATTACTTAGCTAAAAAAAATACAGCCACTGACAATTCTATAACCGAGGAGGCTTGTTGCAGCTGTTTAGCCCTATATAGAAAATCAGCAAGACAACTAAACCTGCTCAGGAAGATTGAGCAGACAAGCACAGGACAAAAAAAAACATTAACAAAAGAGAATGATCAAAGCCCATCAGAACACCCACCTCCAATCTATCTTGAACATCCACGAACCATCAGTCTTGAAAGTGGTTTTGTTCGAGTATAGAGAAGCACATCGACAGAATAACAGTTAATTCAACAGGGAACAAGGAACATAGACAGTCAAACGACAGGTTGAAAGAAAAAAGTAGGACCTACCAGAGGTGCCCTCCACTGACCAACCAGTCTTGAAAAGCAAAATTACAGCCTACAAAACACAGCGAACTTGGTAAAGAGTGGAAATCTTTCTGTGATAAACATATTTCGCTATGCATATGTTTAAAAATACATAGAAATACGTGTATAAGAACAGATTTTGGACTTGAAAATCTGTTTGCTATGTGCTTATTTTGCTATGGGCATGTTCGCTAGACTCTAAATGTAAGGACAACTTTTTTTTTTAAAGTTCAACATACCACTCTTGCTGGCAACAGAGACCACCTCCATGTATTGAGAGGGATCGTCAGCTTTGATGTAGGAGTCGATGGCTTCCTTGACCATTCCCTGGTTCAGCTGGGCACGGGCCAGTTGGCTCCACACGGCTGGGTCGTTGCATCTCTCAGCAAACTCATAGGCTCTGTCTAGGTTGTTCACATTATCAATCAGGACCTGTGATAAGTATGGGTTTTAAAAAATTTGTTATGAGTACAAGCAAAGAAAGTAACACAATAACCGTTATTTCATGCACAGAAAGCATTCGTAAGTTTTTTTTATAGTTTTAATAAGATTAATTACAGAACTATCAACACATATAGGTCACATAAGATTAGACGTGTTACTAGAGAATAACATGCAAAGACAAAGACAGATACGGGTCGTAGCTGTTTGATGGGAAAGAAGGAGCAACACCCCATCAACCCAACAAGTTTATTTTTACTTAATTGAGGCTTACTACAAATAAACCAGTCTTCAAAAGCAGAAGAAAGTTTCCCATTTTAACGTGCTATGTAGTTCCTTTGGTGAGCTTCAAATTACGAAAATGATAAGCATATTACCAAAACTGTACTATCATTGAGATTAATATCACAAGGACACAATCAGAGTGTACCTATAACTGGCACTTGGAAACAAACATGTTCATGACATACCTGAATGGCTGAGGTGTTCACTTCAAACTTCTTGAAGATGGCAAAAGCTTCCTCATACAGCTCATTGGTGATGGCAATGTTTGCAATATCAGGAGCATCGTAGTTGTCCAAGCGGTTGATGTATTCCATCACACGAGTACGGTCTGCCTTGATGGCTGTCAAAATCAGCAGATTCTGCAGATTTCTATGGAAAAAGAAATGTCCAAAATTGTATAAAATATTTGTATATATCCCAAAACACTTGGCACGGTCTCTGTTCAAGTTATACGGCTATAATTTAGAGGGGAAACCTGTGAACAAAGGGAAAATCAGGATAAACAGAACTATGAGAATCACAAACTTACGCGCTGACAATATCCAAGAGACACTGATACCGACACCAATGAGAAAGAACCAAAACAGACACTTTACAATAACTTTTTTTAAAAAGTAGAACAACATAGAAAAACACAAGGTACTGTCTCTGTTCGAGTTTCATTCCAATAAATATCAAATTAGAAGTGAAGACAAAACTAACCTGTGGTCACTGAAGACAGAGGTCTCAAGGACAATCTTCTCAAGCAGCTCAATGAGTTCATTGGGAAGATCAGCAGTCATGAAAGCCTTTACTGCCACTGAAATCTCTTCTGGGTCTTGAGTCTCAGACAGAGCCGTTTGCACAACCTTCAGAGCAACAAAAACAAATAGAGAGCTGAGAATTAGCTTTTCCCACTCTGCTAAACCAGTGAACAAAATGTTACAAAAAGAACCACTTACTGTCACATCTTCCCCCCCCCCCTCTCACCCCTGTTTAAATTAAGATAATGAGGAAGGTAGTTTTTCCCCTCGTCTCAAGTCAATGTGAAAAACACTTTCAAACATCTTTTGGGGGAAGAAAAAAAAAACTCAAGGAAGCTGGACAATTTTTCTACTGATTTTGGTCAGTCAGCACAGGCAATATATTAACTCATCCTGTACCTCATAAGACACAACACTTAGTTTTCAAAAGTATGATTTAAGAAAATCAGAATATTTTTAATGGTTTTAGTCAACCAACGAAACTAAAAGGCAAACCACTTTTAACAGTAAAACTGCATTCTGATTATAACAAACAGCAAGGAAACTTAATTCAAGCTTTATTTAGAGTTACAACAAGGTAACTTAATTCAAGCTTGATTTAGAGTTACAACAAGGTAACTTAATTCAAGCTTGATTTAGAGTTACAACAAGGTAACTTAAGTCAAGCTGGTTTCAGAGCGACCACAAAATCTGGGACAAGGAAGTTACCCAAAGGGCGAAGAACTAAATAGATTTATTTTTAAAGTTTCCTTCATACCTGGTCAATAAGCTGTCTCTTGTATTCATTCTCTTCACTCAACACAGTGGCCCAAAGGTCAGGGTCACGGCGACGCACCAAGTAACGAGCCTCACTTTTGAAGAGCGAGTTTTCATTGCACACCTGAAATAGAAACCCACATTTATCCATGTTTTCGTAAGCGATTTACACCACTTGCAATATAAACACAAACAAATCATATAAGTGCAGAAAATTACAGGTGTTATTACGTGTACAACTCTAAGGTATTGAATCCCCCCCATTAATTTGCAGGGGTATTTTTGGTGAACCCCCACGACCGACGATCATGTGAAAAATTATATCTAGAATCTCGATATCTGAATGAAACTTTCTTTGTGTGTGTGTAAATGGCAAATAACCCTCAGTATTATTACCAGTACCGGGATGGCTACCTCAATTTTCTGCTTTTTAAAAACTTTTGTACACACGAACACAAAAGCAAATTTCAACAAAGACAAATGCACTTTTTCAACCATGGTTCAAAAACAAACTGGTAAAACTTACTTTGATAAGTTCCTCATCACATTGTCCTCTTTCATAAGCAACGCATGCTAGATGGGGATCTCTCTTCTCACAATATTTTCCTACGGTACGGCTATCGTAGTACTGGTTTTCTCTGAGGATACACGAAAAGAAAGTCCACTGTAAATTCTTTTTCACAAGAATTATATCACATCCTCCAGTCTGAGAGAAAGTAAATAAAAACCTTTTATCGTTGCATTTTGAGCAATATTTGTTTTTCTTATTTCGTTTCAAATAATAAATTATTATATTGTTTTCATTTGGGGCTTGAATCTAGCTCTTTTGTAAACAAAAATATTGACATCACTTATGAAGACTTTGAGCCTCTTCAAATGGCAGATGTAACAGAAAAAGATGAAAAACAAGCTGATATAGTTCTAAATGAAACGGAACAGTTCCGTACAAAAATGTGTACATTAACAAGTGTGGTGATCCACAAACAAGAAAATTATAGCTGCAATAACAGCACAACAGTGGTCAACGACCCCCCCTGAAACGTCATTACAACACCTTGCTTCATTCTTATTCTTTATTTTTTACTTATTGATCAAGCTATGCTCACAGTCCACACCCACTTCTATAAAAAAGCAGTACTTAAAAAAAACCAAAAACATTCTGATTAAGCAGAACTACTTCTGTTCCATCTATCAGTATCACTTACCGCAAAAACCTCTCTGGATTATTGTTACTGTCAATGTAGATCTTGGCCAGTGCATTATGGGTAGCTGGTTCATTGACACCCTCAAGGACTCTAGTTTCTAGCCAAGGCAACAACAGCTTCAGCCTAGAGACGGGAAACGCATTCGTGTTTTAACTTATTTCATATTCACAACCCCCAAAACGTAACTGGAGATCCAATTCACACCTCAACCAGGCTGATAATGTGCACATTCTAGCCTGTCCAGAGATATACGTATCATCATTTTGTTTACAAAGATTACATTAGCGTGCTTTCAAGCATATTGACATATTATTTTAAGGCAACAAGTGAACGGTTCTCGAAGAGAAAAGAAAAAGGCTTTCCTGTCAGTGTGAGTGTTAGTGTGCGAGCAAACATGCATGGTGTGTGTGTGTGTGTGGGTGTGTGTGTGTGTGTGTGCGAGTGCCTGTCTCTGGGGACTACCGATGATTACTGTAGTGTACAACCATGGCAAACTTAACCCAAACTTCAGTATTTAACCCCTCCCCCCATTGTTTTGAAAGGAAAAGAAATAAATTACCTTAATCTGTTGTTTTTTTGTTTCTTTTAATGCGTCAAGCAAACAATAAGCAAATCCACCTTTCTTCAAAAAGCCTTATACAATAAAATAAAATACAGGTACTTTCAAGTTTGACAAAATAAAGGCATCCTGGTAGTACTAATCTACATAATAAGGAAACATCTTGAACTATACTAGAGTCCTCCATCATCACTGCACTTCCTTGGGGAGGAGAAGTGGGTTGTCCTATTTATCTATCTTAAGATAAACCGGCTGTGTTGGATCAACACTAGAACTTATTGCAATCATATAAACACAGTTTCCTTGGCTTCAAGTCTAACAATTATTCAGTTATTCTTTTTATCATATCAAATTTTGTTTAAGTTGACATGTCTCAACTATGGGTAAATCCATGTAATAAGATGTATTAAAACACACCAACATTTGACTTGACTGCTGATTAATAGGTGGCAATTTAGACAAAAGTCTCCCCCATCAAGATGAACAGTACAATCAACAACGACAGTTTGAAAGAAATCGTGAAATCAAACGAACAGATCTGCTACCTTAAACAAAAAAAGCGTAAAGGCCCAATCAACCAAAGACTTTAAAAAAAATTGTTCCTTATTGTTCAAACAGATAATCAAGCCCAGAAAGCTCTGGCTTGAGAAAGCTGTACATGTGTGGCAAGCAGAAATGAAACAAACCCAGACCCAAGAGGCATTACCAGCCAGATAGCTTTGTGCGAAACTTTCAAGATTTCGGTGACAGCAAAACTTCAGACAGAGAACAGCCATGCACCCAAACAAATCTTCAAGGCAAAATCAAATCCAACAAAGAGCCTGTCTACACATTATATATACAATCAAAAGATGGAGATTGACTATAATATTTGTACCGAATCCAATTAGGGTACATTGAGACAATGAGACATGTATGGCAAAATATATAAGAAAAGATTCCTCATTCCCCCACCTTACCTGTGGGCACTACCAGTAGCATAAGATGGAAAATGGGAGATTCTAATGGTTTGATTTATACACATAAAGAAAGAAACTTCTTTCTTTTACATACATTCAATTCACTGTTAAACAAAACTAAAAGGTCTCTTAGATGTGTTTTAATTTAAGGACTTGATCTTTTAAAAAAATTATGCTTTCATAGTAAATTTAAATTTACCACAAGCCTGAACGAAGAAGTTAAAAACATCATTTCATGCAAAGAAAATGTAGAGATAGTGTGGATAACAAAGATAAAAAAACTTATATATTAGCAGGGAAGCTCAATAAAACTCATTGGAAAATAATTTTGCCACCCATAAAAGGAATACAAAATTCATCATAAAAGGAATACAAATTCATCCCACTTTAATATGACCAAAGGGAACAGAACAAAAAGCAACTAAATGCTGGATCCAGCACCGAACGATATGACAACCTCTTTCCTGTTAATATTCGTAAAAGGACAGCAATCACAATACCTGTTTCTCTTCTCCACTTCTTCCACGAGCTCATCAGTAGAGAACTGTCCTTTCACAACAAGGATCAGTTGCTTGATGATGTCCTCGGTGCAATCTACATCCAGTAGTCCCCCCACCACAACAGGCAGCCGAGATGGATTTACCTGCAATAGAATCCTCACAATGTCAAAGAATGCTACCAAAAGGTTACTCCTTTCCAGTTGCAGAAGTTTGTAAGTACATAATCAAATCCGTTCTCATAATTGGGGGTGTGGTGTGTGGTGTGTGTGTGTGTGTGCGTGTGTGTGTGTGTGTGTGTGTGTGTGTGTGTTTTTGTGTGTCACCGTTAAGCATTGTCTGAAAGATATAATGACTAACCCTTTATGAGGACAAATGAAAGTACTTGAAAGACGCCAAAAATTAAACAGTACGCAGAATCTTACATTTCAAATTTACTAAATCTGAACATTGTGCTCCTCAATTGCTGTTTAGAGTGGGAAAATTCAAGTTTCAGACAAGCGCTTCACTCTTCATTAATTTTCAGAAGAGGGAGCAAGCAATGTCATCATTAAGGAATGGAAAAGGGCTAAATATTAAAGTTTTCGGCCCATACGATTCTCAACAAACTAATGAGCAGAGTTTCACCAAGACATGAGGCAAACAGTCAAGAAGTCCACAATTAACTAAAGTCACTAGTTCCCCAACTGTCAGGATTTTTGCTATGAGAGTTTAAATAACTTAATGAAGTAGAAAAAGCACTTCTATATATCACCTCCTGAGTTAGAAGCATTCAAACAACACTATTCATATCTCCTTTTGCAATGCAATGGCATAGGCCATAAGGAAAGAATACATGAAAAACAAGTAACATTCTTTTCTACCACATGCAAAAGCTGTACAGATTAATTACAGCTTTAGACCTGTGCTACAGTTCTTCAATATAATGCCAAAATGTAACGCAACAAAACTACTCACTTTCTGCACATAGATTTCAATGTATTTTTGCAGGTTGTTTCTGTACAAGTAGAGTACAAGGTCGTGAACAAAGTCAAAGCGGTCGCACACGATGATCAATGGCAGCTGATCAGTCAGTTTTGCTTCCTGCAAAAGTTAAGTTTAGATTTAGTAAGTTATAACAGCACTTGCAATACAAATAGGTCATAAAAGTGCCAAAGAATAGAGGTGTTACTGGAGAATAACATACAAAGAAAAGAAGGAAAAGAGATAAAAAGACAGATGTTTGAAAGGAAAGAAGGAGCATAGCACACCCAATTACCTGCAAACACCCACCTTCTAGTAGAAAGAGAAGTAAGTGCCATATCAGATCAAACATTACATGGAAAGCTTACACATGGGACACTGGACAAACCAGAAAAATGTTTTTAATTCACAACAGTAATTTGGCACATTTCACTTCCCCAGCAGTAGAAAGCAGTAAGTCATTAAGTGTCTGGTTTACTCACGTAGAGATAGATTTTCATCTTTTCATCTCCCTAAGCTTAAAACATTTCCCCTTCTTCAGTCTTCATAACAAAGTTTTTATGACATATAAATAACAAGATCTGTACTGACCAAGTTCAGGCTATTATTTCCTGGTAAAATCTTCAGTTTGGCTGCATAAACAAACTCAATAGAAAAATAGCGGGGAAAAACTAGCATCAAGCGTCGATAGCGATTGTCAATTTAAAACAAAGACAAGTGTCAAAAGATGTCTGCTTACACGGACAAAAGTTATCATACCTTCAGGAAATTTTTCACTCGTTCAGGATCATAGCAGTTGCTTTCACGACAAATTCTTTCCACTTCCTTGATCTGTCCAGTCTTGCATGCAGCTTGGATGTACTTAAAATGAACCTCAGCATCCTGGCTAAAGTTGACAATGGAGCCCAAGAAGTAGAAGAGTCCTAAAAAAAACCAAGGTTCTCAATTTTAACAAACCAGAAGAGACACAGTTCAGCGGACACAAAAAAAAATAATAATTCACCCAAAAACCAGTAACTTACGAGTAAAATAACACATTCATTTAGACAAGCGCTTCACTCCTCAAAAATATTCAGAAGAGGGAGCAAGCAATGTCATCACTAAAACTTGGGCATTTCTCTTTTCGCCAGTGAACAGTCGCAGAAAAACAAACAGGTATATACTCCAAAAAAATACAAAATAAAAATCTTCCGGCTTTTTCAAATGCAGAAAAACAGGAACTATAAAACCTCAACAGAATAGAAAGAAAACCTGCAAGAAAACAAGAAAAACCTCACAAACTTATATATAGAAGTATAAAAAAGCTAGGTCACCCCTCAACCCTTATCACCCCTCATCTATGCCCCCTCACAAGACAAACTAGGGTCAAAGACACAAATCAATTCAGACAAGCGCTTCACTCTACATAGTTTAGTCAGAAGAGGGAGCAAGCAATGTCATCACAATAACCACTGGTCTCTTGTTGTAAGAAAAAACTTACAGCTTGCAGTGCCCAAATGTTGAATTGAAATTACCAATTTACTTGAGAAAAAGCAAAAAAAGATGCAAACATAGCAAACATACTGTTTGTTTATTTGTGTGAGTAAACAGAAGCACATTGACACAATGATGGTCATTTAGTGCTGGGATAAAGACCGGCAGACAGTAATCACATGGGGAAAGTAAAGAAGAAGGACGGTCAAGGACCTACCTTCCAACCACAAGCAGACTACAATCTTTTATGCAAGAAAAATAAAGGCTACCACAAAATGCAAGTAAAAAAACAAAACCTGAGCAACGTCATAAACCTCCTCATCAACCCTCCAGTAACAAATCATTTCAGTTTTTAGTTTCAGTAAGAGTATTACAGCACTTGCAACACAATACGGTCATATAAGTGCCGAAGAATAGATTACGTGTTACAAGAGAGTAACATACACCAAAGAGGAGGGGAGATAAGGACGACAGATGTTTGATAGGAAAGAAGAAGCAAACCACACCAGAACACCCGCCAACCACCCACAAATCATTTCAGACAAGCGCTTCACTCAACACAGTTTACTCAGAAGAGGGAGCAAGCAATGTCATCATAAAAATTGCTGGTTTTAAACAATAGGAAGCGGTAAGGCTCACACTGTGCGCATTATTAAAATTTAATGAACGAAAGACGTGGAGAGAATGCCAAGCTCAATATACATTACTACAATCAATCCATCCAAAATGCTGTACTGTCCCGACCCCACAACTCCAACGAAAATGAGACCCCTACTTTACTTCTTTACTTAATTTAATAATTAGCAAAAATACACGTAATCATTGATAAGGACTTTCATATATTTTAACATACACACAGAACAAAAAAAAACAACAACCCCCAACAACAACCAAAATACCAAGACAACGGATACGACACAACGACCCTCCTTGTCAACCTTCATTAAGAGATCATTTCAGACAAGCGCTTCACTCTACATAGGTTACTCAGAAGAGGGAGCAAGCAATGTCATCATAAAAATCGCTGGTCTTTAACACTTTGCAGTCACAAAATACCCCATCTGGTCACCCAGCCAGGAGAGTGACAGCAACGAACTTCTCGGGCCTGGCCCATAACTGCGATCAGAACAGATAATTTTCACCGGCACAATGCGCCAAGTTATAGCAAAGTGTTAAGAGCAAAGAGCACTAAGGCTTACACTGCGCAACCTAAATATAAAACGAATGAAAGACTACAAAACTGCCAAGCGAAAAAACACTACAATCAATCCATCCAAAATGCTGTCATCTTCCCCCACCCCCCCTTGCAAAATAATTGTCATTATTTTTATTATTACGGCGATGCAGGCCAATACATGACAGATACCAGACCCCAAGTGATGTGATCGAGAAGACGAAGAAAAAAAGCATTCTTCAAAAAATAAATGCATTATAAAAGGACAAAAATATATTTCAGACAAGCGCTTCACTCTACACAGAATATTCAGAAGAGGGAGCAAGCAATGTCATCATAAAAACTAGGTCCAACAATAAGCAAAATAATTATTCAAACTTCGTTTAGGAGGAAGCTTAAAACGAAAAAAGGCATTCCAACTTCCAAGAGGACACCATTGTCAATTATTAATGTTCTTGTGCTCAACTACATTTCCAAAACTGCATCACAGTAGAACAACAAAAGGCATAAACAAAATCAGTCAACTTTATGTGAAAATTTGCAATGCATAAAACAAACACCTTCTCACTCAATTTAGAGCATGGGGTAAGTTAGCGATCACACATACATATATGGATTAAAGAAGCTTATGATGCACTTGTTGAATTGCCACTTCTAGCAAGTAACAGTTTATTTAACCTTTTTTAACCCACCAAAAAACGTATTAAACTTGATCAGAAAAAAGAATTTTTTGTTGTTGCTAAAAGAAACCCCAAATATCCCTCTAACAAGACTAAGACAACCAACCGCTATTCAAACCCTCTGAACGTCCTTTATACCTCTCACTAAGGACTCTTTCATCTTGTAAGGTCCGCACTGGCAGAATCCGTTTCAGACAAGCGCTTCACTCTACATAGTTTAATCAGAAGAGGGAGCAAGCAATGTCATCATTAAAGCAGTGGGTCTCATATCGATGATATCAGGCACAAATCATGCAACTTCAAATTTCCATCTGATACTTTTCTGCTTTGAATAGCTGGGCAACCCTGATCTACACCACATCCATTTAAATCCCAGGTATTAAACAATATACTTAAAGTGCCAAATAGAATAGTAATGCGATCAAGATATCTACTTTCCACCGCCACTTTCGAGAAAATGTTCGGGTTTATTCACTTGTCATGGTTTGTGCCCAGAGCCATCAACACCAATGCGCATTCAGAAACAAGAACTGGTGTTATATGCAACTATTATCTATTTTAAAAAAAGGTCGAGCACACCGTTTTCTCACCTTCATAGCTCTTGAATGACTCAAACAGCTCAATAAGGCTCTCGGTGGTAAGCTGCTCATGGTACTTGGAGGCAATCTGCACGCACACCTGAAGGTTCTGGCGAATGTTGGCAGTCAGCATGGCTTTCAGACACTCCAAAGAGTCCTCCACTGATAAGGTGCCAAAGTATGTCACGAGCCACTGTTGGTTAATTTTAAAGGGGTTAGATTACAGCTTAATATATATATTTTACCAATACCTTAAAATTACTAATCTAAAAGTATATTCTTCAAAGAAGTAATAAGAACAAAAGTTTTAAATTCAATAATGACAAATATAATAAATCTATCAAATAGCGATCATGTGTATCTGTCTCATAAAACAAAAACAGAATTGTTATCCTCCCTTTCCAAAATACAATTATCACATTATAGTACTATTTCCATTTAACCGGCAGCATTACAATTAACCATGTAGTAAAAGTACAACAATGACCATAGCCCTGTTGTTTGTTGTTTTAAATTTACTTATTTCTTGTGTGAATCTTAATTTGTTCTGCTATTTACACCAAACTAAGATTCCTACACACAGACTTCACAACCACGCAAGAAGAAATTTTTTTTACAGCAGTCAATTTGTTGCTATTGCTATAGCGCATGCGGTGATTTTGTAAATTTTTTTGAGTGCACGTTTTTTTTCAGATTATGCGTGCATGTGTAGTTGAAAGATAAGTTGAACGTTTGTTTTGTTTAGCGCCTAGAACCACCAGATAAACCATTTTTCCCCTCTTCAGGAAGGACAGAAACAAATTCATAGCAGTGTTAGTACAAGTATCAGTGCACCAAGAACAAGATCAACGCTTCAGCAGTTCTAAAGAGAACTATGACTTACCTCTGGATTGAGCAAGTGTGTATGAACCACAGCTCTCTTCACATCATACAAATCTGTGTAGTGCTCCAGAGCCTGAAATTAAACCAAAACAAGTTTAGCTTACAAACATCTGTTACCACTGCAAAAGTGTTTCTATCTTTCTTCTTTTCACACAATAACACTTCGCACTTCTTTGTAAATACATAATTGTGAAACAAGTACAAACACTATTTCTCCTGTAAAATCAGAAAAAGCCAAGCACTTTATCCTTTTTTTTCTCTCTTTTAACACTTTGCCATCATATTTTGGAGAAAATCCAAAGAAACTGAGAGGTAAACATCGCCAATCGGCGACATGAGGTTGCAAAGTGCTAAGAATTCAAAAATGAAATATTTTAAATTGTGTGCAAAACTGCATCCAAAATCAATCACAAAGCTCCAATTTGACAACGAAACCAAATTAAGTTAGCTACTGACAAATTGACATACCCTTTGCAAGAGTCCAGCCTTTTCACACAGCTGGGCAACGTGTGCACGATCGTAGTGAGTGAACATTTGATTTCCAAGGATAGCATCAGCAACCTGTCAAAACAATCAGAAAAGTTCATTCACAAATGTGTCTACTCCCACCAGTCTATACAACCCCAAACCAACTAGACAAGTGTATGCCTCCTCAACCAAACTAAAGAACTCTATTCAGCTGACTCAGTATTCTAGGACAAAACAATCAGAGAAACTGGACAAATAGCTGGAGGCAGTCTCAATACTGCTGGTTTGTTCACACTGATATAATAATGGCCACTTAGTTTAGTACCAGGAAATAGCAAGACAGGCAAAAAAAAACAGATGGGCAGTAAAATAGCAGTGATACAAAACACGATAAAACATTGCTTTTCGCATCACATCACATCAGTATGTATGTATAGTATAAGGTTTTACGGCGCTCGCATCACATCAGTGCACTAGTGTCTCAAAATGAGACAGTTCTTTTACAACAATGTTTCTCTACATTTAGTGAGAGTGCAAAAATAATTACTGTCTGAAAAACATTTACACCCACCTTTCCACACTCTTTCTGGCATTAACTAGCTTATAGGTTAATTTTTCAAATAATCTTTAAGCCCCAAAATCTTACTTGCACAGTAACATGCTTGAAATTTTTCACATACAGGACTTTTTTGTTCGCCCGGTGTGCTTAATAGCATCATGTCCGTGCACTAGTGTTTTGTGAGGGTACATGTGAAAGGAGAGGGGGGAAAGGAGACAAAGCAGGAGGAAATGAGGGAAGGTCAAAAATGTAAAAATTAGAGGCCGACACATTCCAGTACAGTAGAAAGGGGGTGTGGCATGTTGGACAAGAAAATAAGTCACATTGTTGCAAACTCCAGCTATCTCATCCCAGACAGGGTCATCACCTCTTTCTAATCAAATGTGTATGTCTGCACTGACCCACAATCTCCTAGCTTTAACCTTAGGTCTAGTTTCCATTCTATGACAACACCCACTTGAGGTCCTGTTGACCTTTATCATAGCTTTGCTATCAATAGCCAACCGATAAGTGAGGGTTCTGTTTCAAGTGGACTACTATCAGTAAACAGAAAGGCGTTGCGACAAGCAATAGCTTCAACATCAGCCGTTACGGATGTTAAAAGATAATCACTCAGCATCAACTACGTCATGTCTTTAGTTTGACAAATTTATCTTTAAAAAATTTGTCGTGGAATGTGAATGAAGAGCATGTTTATGGGTTTTCAATAACCATGTGAACAGAAGGAGCCCTTTTATGCAGACAAACATGAACAAAAACCATGCAACAAGGATAAGCTAAATAGTACAGCATGTGACCATCAAAAAACCCACAACAATAGACTGCTTAAGCCACATGTGTATGAGTGTGGTATGCTGCTAAGCTGTTAGTCCTCTGCCACATTGAAATAGTAACTTCCATTTTATTTCAAGCACGCAATCCTGTGAGCTTTTTCAAAGCTAGACGATGATAAAAACTTTCACTTTGTCCAACTCATTAAAAATGGTAAGTATTAAATATTCCAGCAAAAAATAATCTTCTCACCTGTGGGGCTGACATGAGGTTCATTTCCAGCAACCGTGTCTGAAGAGGGCCCTCAGAGGGTCTGTTGTTCTTCAGTGCGTCCAAAAGGAAGGAGGTACACTGCTGGATCAGGTTGAACTCCATGAACACATCAACAATCTGAAAAGAGAAGCAAAACCAAATATATGCACATTTTTTCCCACATAACATTTCACTAGGCCTAACATTATGGACATCAAACATCTTCATATTTTTGCAGCTACATCTATCGTCCTTATCTCCCCTTCTTTTTTATGTTTGTTACTCTCTCTTGTAACAGCTCTAATCTTCTGGCGCTCATATGACTTTACGCAGTTGCGAGCGCCATAAAACCTCTACTAAAACCTTTTCAAACAAACATAAAAGCTAGTAAAATCCAGTAAAACCAGAAAATAAAAAGGCATGAAAAAGGGTAATAGGCAGGTTTTTTTCTGTACTACGCCCATTCTCATATCACGCCAAGTTAATCATGAAGTAAGAAGGGATCCTTCGTCCCTTCTACTAATGGAACTTACATTTTTCCATTACCGAATAATTGAAAAAACATGGACAGTCTTTGGTATTATGAAAGGAGCACAGGTTAGGCTAGTCTAGTAAAGTAGTAAGTTTGTGTGAAAGGAAGTTCCGAAGGCTTCAAAACAGATATATGGAGTAAACGAACAGGTATCTTAACAGGTACTGTAAATAATACACAGTATTAAGAGGCATGGCAGTTGATGAATGAATAATTAGGCTTCAAAGAAGGTGGGTAAACATACGCGAAAGTAAGTTGAAAAGACCACTGATCAGATATGAGCATAATTTATTTCTCACAAAATCTGGAATGAAGTCACTCTGAGTGGTCACCAACCCTGATGCTGGACCCCTGACCCCAACATGCTCCTTAAAAAAAAATAATAATCAGACAATGCAAGCGCTCTTTCATAAACAAAAAATCCATTCAAAGAAAATGAAATACAGCTTACTTAACAGTACACCACCAAGTTCTCCAATCACTTACTTGGTTGAGATCAGCCAGAGGCTCATCATCTTGAACCATCATCTGGGCAAACTGCAGTCCTTGATCTGGATTGATGCGCATCAAGTTGCGAAGCAAGAAAATGTAGTCTGGTGCAAATCCGACTTTCTTGGAGTACAGAATGATCTTTTGGAACTGTCCAGTCTCAGCAAAACATTGAATCACCTGGAGCCAGATTTTTTAAAGTATTTACAATTTAAATAAATAGTAGGAGCCCACACTTTCCCCATTTAACCCCCATTGCAACAGTTCCTGTTCACTTTATCAAACATCACAAGCAGAGATACCATTATTCTGTACAATGAACGTCATAAAATGCACCATACATGAATTTTAACTTTTTTACAACAACTCTGAATATAATTTTACAGGGAAACTGATTAAAATTCGTAATCCATGGTAACAAAAATGCATGAATCACATAAATCTTTCATTTTTAAAAGGACTGCCAAATGACATACTGCTCACCATCCTGTCTAGCAAAATTAGACATGGCAAAAGTTGAAACAAAAAAAACCCCTATATCACCAAGGTGGTGATAAAAGCCTACATTTTTATGGCAATGATCCTTCTTTAGCAATTTCCCTTCATACATAGTTACAAAACATAAAAAGTTAAGAAAACTGTACAACTGCAAAGAAATTTAAATTTAAAAATCACTTTCTTTGATACTGAACAGATACATTATTAAAAATATATAACAAACCATATTGTGCCCTTTTAAAGCATCAAATTGTAAACAGAAAACTTCGACACTTACATGTAAGCAATATGTGTTACATCTTGCCTTAGGTACGGAACGTCATTTTAACTCGGAAAACCTTAACACACAAGAGAAACAAACTCATACCACTCATTGAGCATTCTTATAATCTAAAAATGTGGTTTACCTTCTGAGGAACATTAGCCCGCAAGTATACGGACAATGCCAAAGTGGGGTCTGCTGTCTTCACAATGTCTCCCAATTCTTCACTGCATTCCAGCTGAAAAAGGTTAAAAAAAAAGGTTATTGAAAAATCTTTCAGAGGAGTATTCTGAAAGTATCACTGTCCCAACTAACATGAAAATCACAACACAACACAATTCACTGAGAATAGAAAAAGAAATGATGGTTAAAGGAATGCTAAAAAAAAGTAATACACTGATGATGAAAATGTCAGTTCCTCTGCGAAACACAAAGCTCATGTAAGCTATGGTCTGTCTTGGAACGTAATTTCTTTCGGATCCATCTCAGACAAGCATGAACAACAAACTTGTCAACTAAGGAGTTATAGATCCATATTCATAATGACGGCATACATTTCTTGACACAATAAACTAAACCTGGTATGTTCAAAACTGATTCCATAGAGGACGAAGAAGAAAAGGATAGAACTACAACTGATCAGTGGACCATCCTTAACCAACCAGAAAACAAGGATAGGTGTACAAACATTTGATAGATATTTGAAGTCAAACTTCAATCTTTAACATGTCTTTTGCACTTCATTAGATATTTTTACCGTGTCGGTTTCTTTTGTAAACACATATAATTCTAGTGTTTAGATTTATAGATTCTCTCAGGACGCAGGTGCACGAGTGTTGGAGTGCGTGTGTGTAATTGTTTGTTGTATTTCCAGAAAAGGGCCATTGGAGGAAATACACTGACGATGGAAATGTCAGTTCCATTGCGAAACACAAAGCTCATGTAAGCTATGGTCTGTTTTTGGAACATACTTTCTTTTGGATCCATCTCACACAACACAAGCATGAACAACAAACTTGTCAACTACAGAGTTATAGATCCATATTCATAATGATTGCATACGTTTCTTGACCCAAGAAACTAGACCTGGTATGTTCTCATTCTGCTGTCCCCATTGTTTTATGCAAGAAAAATTCTGAAACTATGCAAACTGAGCCCAGAAATGTGAAATAATGCGATTCTGTTAATTTTAACAAAGAGTGATAAAGGAAAATAATCAGAAATTATGTAAAAAATGATCAAATTTTGCTAAATTATGCTGGGTGCATAAAACCACTGGGACTTATTCTGATACAAATCAATCATGTTTCTAAGCAGCACAAAGTAAAGTACTTTTCAGAAAAAAATTATCTTTTTGGAAACATTTCAGCAGCATTACTATAATGCAATTTTAAAAAACTCACAATAGAAAATATATTATCATCTAAAAAATGTAACTTGTTGATGTTAAGATGCCATCCATCGCCAGCAGCAATGGTTCAAAACTGATTCCAAAGAAGACGAAGAAGAAAAGGATAGAACTACAACTAATCAGTGGACCATCCTTGACCAACCAGAAAACAAGGATAGGTGTACAAACATTTGATAGATATTTGAAGTCAAACTTCAATCTATAACTTATCTTTTGAATTTCATTAGATATTTTTACCATGTCAGGTTCTTTTGTCAACACATAGGGCCTATAATTTTAATGTTTAGATTTATAGACTGTTATGCCCTTTCTCTCAAGATGTGTCTGTATGCGAGTTGGTGTGAATGTGTGTGGTTGGTGTATTTTCAAAAAAGGGCTATTGGAGGAAATACACTGATGATTGAAATGTCAGTTTCACTGCGAAACACAAAGCTCATGAAAGCTAAGGTCTGTTTTTGAAACTTATTTGCTTTCGGGTCTATTTCAGACAAATATGAAGAACAAAATTGTCAATTAGGGAATTACAGACCCATACCGATATACTTAAAAGACATGCATCCCATGACATGGGGAAAATGGCTGTTTAAACAGGTGATTGTCTAGGACTGGTGGTCATGAGAGCTGATTTGACTGTACTTGCACAATAGAGTACCATACACACCTTTTCTTCCTTCAGCCACTTTTCCACAAGCTGCTTGCGACCCTGCTGCAACACAGGTCGACACAGTTCCAAAGACTCATACTTGTTCAACTGACCCTTGTCCAGGAGGATTCCAAAGTACTGGAGCAGAGGAGATGTAGTTCCCTGAACTGATGGTACCTGCTGAAACCGCTGGATGGTCTGAGGGGTGCGCAGAATGCCCTGAAGAAAGAACAGTGAGAAGTTTCCAATACAAGTAACTTACGGATGCTATGCTCAGACCAGAAACAAACACAAAAAAAGAAAACAAAAACAAAAACAAAAACCCATGCATTCATCTTCATTGTATCCTAAATGCAACATTCTTTTACATGTTCATTGACAAAATTAGCACTCTTTCCTTTGTAACTGAAAGTACAGAAAAAAACTTACATTAAGATTGATTTATTTCTGTTTTCACATTATAAAAAAATGCAAACACAATTGTAAATGTCTTCCCTTACTCTTTCTATTACGATCTCATTTATTCAGAAATACCTTGGGAGCCACAGCTGCTACTTTAGCAGCCTCTTGATAGTTTCCAGCCTGGAAAAGGTTGTTGAACTTTGCAACAAACAGATCCTCTGCACCAGGCAGATTGCATCGAGAGGAAACTTTCAAAGCTAGGTCTGGGTTTTGCAGCTGCGAGTTGACATACTGCACAATGTTGTCTTCTTCCACACTGACGGAAAGAACCTTGGGGATAAAAAATAAAAATAAATCAAAATTATTTCAAACAGATACTGAGACAATTTCAACTGTCTATCACATACACCATTACATCAATGGTGAAGATAAACAATATAATATTCTGATGACATAAATGTCAGTTCCTCTGCGAAACACAAAGCTCATGTAAGCTAAGGTCTGTCTTGGAACTTGTTTTCTCTTGGATCTATCTCGGACAAGTATGAACAACAAATTGTCAAGTAAGGAGTAATAGACCCATACTCAAGCTTCAATTACATATATTCTTTGACAGTGACAATTTTCTACCTATCAAACAGGATGCTCTAATGGAAAAAGTAGTATAGCTACCGAATCGATTTCATCTTTTTACTTCATATATCAAAGCATATTTGCTTATGAACAAGCAACATGAAATTGAAATTTGAATAATCTGCACTCTCTAAAAAATTGTTATTGTATGAAGGGCTGGAACAGGGATTTAAAAAAAGGAATTGACTACCAAATTCGTGATTGAGAAAATCCCTGTAGGAAATTAAATGCAAAAAAATAGTCCTTCCCACAAATGACAACAGGCAGCAACACCTTCATCACTCTCAATAGAAAACAACAGCTAATCAAGCATATACCTGTCCTTTCCTGTTGACTCCAATGATGCCATCACTAGCTTCATGTGCTGCAGTTACAAAAATGGTGTCAGCGCTGATTCTGTTCATGTAAATGCATGTTCCTGTTTCTATGTCATACATGTGAATGTACCCATACTTGGTGACAAGGAAAACCATGCCATGCTTGTTACTTGTCTGAAAGAAATAGAATACAAAACATGAATAGGATTTCACACAGGGAGAGCACGTTGACTACCGATTTTCCTCCACTAACAATTTCTTTTTAAAATTTAAACAAAATGAGATAGAATGGGTTCACTAAAGGACCCATTAAAAAAGAATCCCTGAAAGTAGAAAGTTATGTAAGAAAAAAATCTTACAAGCTAAACAAAAAAATATAAAATTCTCTCCACAATGAAAGAGAAGGTATAATCTCAAATAAATGTGAGATCCGTTAAAAAACATTCACATGATCGTTATATACAAGGCTCCCTTGAAATCGAAAGGCGATGTGTTACTTTGTAATACAGCAAAGTAACAATGTTACCATAAAAATAGCAGCTTGGTCTACAAGACCTGACAAGGGTCTACCTTTCTCTAAACTCGCATAAGCTGATCATGTTAACAGTACCAAGTCTAAAAATTAAATCACCTGCATTGCGACAGGGAAGTCATTTTGAGCTTCTACAGGGAAGAAAACATCCACAGCCTTTTTAGTGAAAGGTTGATTACCACTGGGAGGAGTTCCAACTTCAATGATATGGAGCTGAAACAAATATAAAACAAGATAATAAAAAGAAAGAAAATAATTTCGTTTGGTCTCAGTATTAGTGTTACTGCACTTGCAACATAATTAGATCATAAAAGTATCGAAGATTAAAGGTTTTACTCAAGAGTAACGTACAAATAGAAGGAAGAGAGATAAGGGTTGGATAGGAATGAAGGAGTAAACCACACCAAAACACAAGCCAACCACCCACAAAAAAGCTATCTGTTCACTCTACTTGGACAGAATGTAAGTAGAAAAAAATCCTTCTTATACTTTTGAAGGAAAAAACACTACAAAAAGTTAGTCTAAGTTTTAGTAGGAGTCTTACAGCACTTGCAAAACAATGAAGTATTATAAGTGCCAAAGATTAAAGGTGTTACAAGAGAGCAACAAACAAAAAAGGAGGAAAGATAAGTTTTAGTTTCAGTAAGTGTTTTACGACACTTACAACACAATAAGGTCATGTAAGTGCTAAAGATTGGAGGTGTTACAGAAGAATAACAAACACAAAAAAGAAGGAGGAGAGATAAGGACGATAGACATTTGATAGGAAAGAAGAAGCAAACCACACTAGAGCACCTATCAACAAAAAGGGAATTTTACAGTGACCTTGTTAAAAAAAAATATCAAGACACTTTGTCAAATGCTTAACTTGCATATCTTTGCCTTTAAAACAACAACAAAAAATATAGGTAACAAACAAAGTATCTGACTTGCAAAGTTTGTATATATATATATATATATATATATAGTATATTAATAAATATTTTAATAGAAACATCCCATGAGACTAGACCATTAAAAAAACTCTCACCTTTCCACCATTAGCTCCACGAACTGCGAAAACGAACAGAGTCGATGGATTGGGGTTCCCATCCACTTTGAATGAAGCGAAAGCTGCAGCATGTCCTTCAATTGGCTGGCTCACTTTCCTTTCCACAGAATACAACTGCATTGCTCCAACAACACGGCTTTGCTGAAAAATAATAACAGCGTCAATTAATTATTTGTCTGAAAAGGAACTTCCTATTTCAAAAAACCATTTCTGCTCTTATTTTGTGTCCATTAAAAGATTTTTTTTTTAAAAATCCTTGCCATAACATGCTGCAAAGACAGAGTCAAAGAGAAGGAGATTGTGGTCTATTTCCATTCTTTTGACATAAAGCACCAGAGGTCTAATTACAACCAAAAAAAACAACACGAGGAACAAGCAGCTACTACAAGGAAGGTTCTATATAATTCCTTCAACTATCAAAAAAGCAACAAAAAGTAACCTTAAACCCTTTACACACCAGGTTAAGAAATCTGATTAATGGAAAATAAAAAACAAAAAAAGTATGATAACCTTCACACAATGGAAAAGCAGTGGCCTGTTGTAAACAAGTTTCATTCAATCATGTCAATGAATTGAACCACTCATGATGGTTAAATGAGTATACATACTTACTGCTGCTTAAAAGATACAAAACAAAGAAAGTGCTGAATAGCAGCCGTCCACGGACACTATATTCAAACTATGTCTACACAGCGATATCCTGGTGCACAGCACATACATTCGGAAAAAATCTACGTGCAGAGATTATAAGTCTTCACCAAAGATCTTGCTCTCCAGGAAGACTGTCTACTCGCAATGATCCAGAAAGAGAAGCTTCCTAACAGTTTCACATTTTCCAATGATTTCATTTGCCATAAATGCCATTACCAGAAATATAATAATAAACCTGTAAGTGCTGATCTACAAAACTACAATAGTTGAAAGCATTACAAGTGACACTGCCTTAAAAAACAAGGCAAACAAGGCACCCTCTTTTATTTCTTAACAAATACCAAAAAGCACTCAAGAGCTGTCAGGTACACTTTGGGAATTCAAATTTGTTTTTATCCATGCAACTTTACCTTGAACCTGCACTGTAACAGTGTACGTTCAGATTTTTTTAGGGGCAGAAGGAAACCAATGGTTCAATTCTTGTGTATTTTATATCTATACATAAAAATCAAAACCTAAAATTTTATAAATTCTTATTAATTCTGAAGTTGAAAATGATGAAAATCTAGCACCATCATATTCTTAGAAATACTGAATGCTACCTTCCTTTAAATTTTGAGGTCTGAAGAGTATGTGTGTGGATTCTTTAAAAAAGTGGCGCTTAGGTCAGTGCCACCAGATTTAAATTAGATTCTATTCAGATAATTTCAAAACACCTTAGTACACTTTGTGAGTAGAGAGCAAAACAAATTGAAAAAAAAAGTCAAGAAAAATGTTTAGTCCTTAATAATTCTCAACCATAATATGATGAAATCAATAAGAGCACCCTGAGATAAAATGCATATAAATGTGAACGGGACGTAGGTGTTGGGTAAAGATTGAATGTACACGCACTTTTGACATTTGGTGGGAAGGAACAGAAACAAAAAAACAAAAAAATCAGTGCTTACTGAAAGGGGAAAATGAGGTGTAGTATTCTTAACTCTGGGAGGAACAAACTTGTGGGAAATGGTTGAAAACATGACCTACAGAATGATTTTTAAAACCTAAGTCTTATCTTTAGACATCACTAAAAAAAACCAATAGAAATATAAAGCTCTACCTTCAAAATCTTTGCAATGGTTGAGAAAAACCAAGTGAATGAATGATGATATTGTTATGGATTTCTTGAGAATAAAGGACTATTGTTCTTGGGGTGGTAACTGCTCAACCAAACAGTCAAGAACAACCATCCTCCTGTTTAATTTCAACAAAAGAAATCGAAGTGCAAAAAAAATTCAAAAAATGACAGGGATGGGTACAACTCATCAAAAAAATCCTGGCCTTCAGCATCAACTAGCAGACACTGCTGCCAAGTTGAAATTAAGATTGTAGTAGTTGTTGAAAATGAAAGGAACATCCTCATGATTTTTTTTCTTTTGAATAAAAAAAGGCAGACACCCATCCCTGAAATACTCAGTGGAAGGAAGGATTTGGAGATCTGGTATATTTCAAGGCATGTCTCTATTATGACTATCAGCAACTGTCCTGGCAATACCAGATGAGTAGTAGCATATTATGGAGGAGAAACCTTATACTTACACTTCCAGCTGGTGATGTTTCAGACTGCAGGAATAATTATTGGTGTCTTTGAAATATCTCAAAAACTAGTAGGAAAAGGTAAACTACAACGGAGAGCAACTCTTTAAAGCTTGTCCGCAAAAACAGAAAACAACCATAATCTAACAACATGGAGAAGGAAGAATAATCATACTTTGAAACAATGAGGGAAAGTGATTAAATGTCAAGCACCGAACCAGTAGTTTCTGATATAATGCAAGATAAGGAGAAAATACAGTAACAGTCAGACTCACTGAAAACTGGGACTTCTAACCAAAAACCGTGCATCATTATTATTCGCACTTCGTGAAAATGAAATAAAAATGAAAGCATCACAAACATAAAATGGGACATAAACTGTGAAACAAAAAAATATCTAATCCTTCAAAATCACCCTGCTATACAGCAATCCAAACAGAGCAAGCTCATTACCAGGGACAAACCAATGTGGAAGCTTCAGGCACTAAAGAGGCGTAAAAAAAATACTAGAGTATCAGCATCAGATGAGGAGGCAAAATGGATAAAACTTTTAATTAAAAAGAAAGATGTTCTTCCAACATCAGAGCATTCCCCTATTCAAGAAGGTACAAAAACAGCCCTACAGCAGCTTCTTCAGACGAGGGGAGTCTCACATGACAACACTTGGGAATTTTCTTATAGCAAAGTGTCTCAGCAGCACTCAGACAGGAAAAACACCAACCTGGGCAGAGATGCCAACAAGCAATAGCCACTGCTGTGCAGCATCTGTCCTGTAGTTAATGATCTGACATCCATTCAAGCTGGTGTGACGCTCAAACACTCTCTGTGGCTGGGAATCCCCTGTGAACATGTGGAAATAGCTCTTGAATATTCATGACGCATTGTACTGGCTGCAACAAAACTGCAGCTTGACAGGAAAATCATCCTACTGAGCTGTATAACTTACAATCCTCTTGTAGACTTATTTCCTCACTCCAACTGCATTTGTTCAAAGGGGTGATGCCCTGTTCTCAAAGGATTAAATAGGTTACTCTACAATTCCAGTTATGATAAAAGCACTTTAAATTGGTCTTACCTTCCATTGCCCAGTGATACACCGCTGTTTCAGTGACAAGGCCAATCATGTTTACAGAGATCCACTTCCAGAAAATCACATCATCTGTCATTGTGTGAGCTTTCATCTTGCTCTTCATTTCAATGTTAAAAATTTGCAGAGTCTTTCCAGCTGCAAGCAAAGTAAAAATAAAAATTTAACAAAGTGAAAAGCAAGGTTTAACAACAAATACATTATTACAGACTTAGTTTTAGTTTTAGTAGAGGTTTTACGGCACTCGCAACTGCATAAGGTCATATGAGCGCCAGAAGATTAGAGGTGTTACAAGAGAGTAACAAACAAAAAAGAAGAAGGGGAGATAAGGACGATAGATGTTTGATAGGAAAGAAGGAGAAAACCACACCAGAGCACCCGCCAACCACCCACATTACAGGCTTACAACTTTATCAAAACATATCAGGAACACCCAGCGTTATAACATCAGATTACAATAACAATGAACCAATGGGACTGATTTTGATGCACTGTATTGATAAATTTTTTCTCAAATTCACCCCGACCGCAACATACAGGACAGACCTGTGAAGTTCAGGATAATTAAGGACTACAAATGTTTTATAGGAAAAAAGGAGCAAACCACCAGAGCCCACAAATCACCCACTGGGACAGGTTGGCAAGCCTGATAATTAAGAACATGCAAATACAATTTAATGTACCAGTAGCTGGAGACTGAATTTCAGCATAGTTAAGCTGGTTTCAGCACTATGGCCCTGGTTATTTTCTTTGTGGCCATAAACCCATTGTGGGCAACCACTGACGTCAGCAGTAAAACACTGCAACTTCAGGGTCGCACATCAAACACAATGTCTGCACAAATAAATGATCCATGGCCACTTCAAGAGTAAAACCAAATTACAGGCTTACAACATAACTTGACAGAATCATACGGAAATTCAGTGACAAGGGGGCTCAGTAACTCAAAAGGCAGAGTGTTCACCTGTCACCCTAGAGGCCCACAGTTCGATCCCCATTAGTGACAAATATACATTCAAGATAAATTGCAACCCTAAACTGAAAATACTCAAATCAAAATAAATAATAAAGAGTTCCTTCAAAAATGGCACGTAGCTACCTGTCAGGCAAGGAATGAGCGAGTCTACATTCTATATGGACGGGACAAAAAGAAATATAATATACATAGTACTGGAAAATATGAGACAGTTGGAAAGCCTGATATAGGTACGTACAAATATGATTTTATGTACCAGTAGCTGGAGACTGAATTTCAGCATAGTTAAGCTGGTTTCAGCACTATGGCCCTGGTTATTTTCTTTGTGGCCATAAACCCATTGTGGGCAACCACTGACGTCAGCAGTAAAACACTGCAACTTCAGGGTCGCACATCAAACACAATGTCTGCACAAATAAATGATCCATGGCCACTTCAAGAGTAAAACCAAATTACAGGCTCACAACATAACTTGACAGAACCATATTAAGTTCAGTGACAAGGCGGCTCGGTAACTCAAAAGTAGTGTTCACCTGACGCCCCAGAGGTCAACAGTTTGATCCCCGTCAGTGACAGATTTTTTTAAAATGTCTTCCACACCCCCTGATCCCAAGGTAGGTAAGATTAAGCATTTGGTCTTCTCGGATAAGGACAAAAAATTTCTGATATTTCATGGGAAGTTTCATAAAATAAACATCCTTAGGTGGTCCTAAAATTAAAAATAGTATTTTGGACCGCCATCAAGTCAACATTCAAGATAAATTGCAAAGAAACCAATCAAATCAGAATAAATATTAAAGAGTTCCTTCAAAAGTGGCACGTGGCTACCTGTCAGGCAAGGAATTCTACATATTCTATATGGACCCCCAAAAATATAGTACTGGAAAATTTGGGACAGTTGGACAGACTGAATATAAGTAAGTGCAAATATGATTTTATGTACCAGTAGCTGGAGACTGAATTTCAGCATAGTTAAGCTGGTTTCAGCACTATGGCCCTGGTTATTTTCTTTGTGGCCATAAACCCATTGTGGGCAACCACTGACGTCAGCAGTAAAACACTGCAACTTCAGGGTCGCACATCAAACACAATGTCTGCACAAATAAATGATCCATGGCCACATCAAGAGTAAAACCAAATTACAGGCTATATAATTTGACAGATTCATACGGCCCAGTGACATGGGGGCTCAGGAGCTCAATAGGTTTGGTATTCGCCTGTCACCCCAGAGGCCCACAGTTCAAACCCACCAGTGTAAGGGGTTTTTTTTCCTTATGTTCTCTACATCATATCCTCAGATTTCAAGCCAAAAATTCCATAGGTCTCTAGCAAAGTTTCCCATGTTTAGGATCACTTTGTGGAACTAAAATTGAAAAGAGTGAGCCTCGCAGGCTGGCATCCTGGAAAAATTCAAAATTAATTCTAACCCTGAACTGAAACCACTCTAAATTAGAACAAATACTAAAGAACACTTTCGTAATTGGAATGTGGCTGCCTGTCAGGCTAAGGATGATTCTATATTCTAAAGATAAAATAAAGAGGGAAGTTTCAGGAAATTCAACAGAGTTGGCAAGCCTAATATAATTATGTGTAAATTATATGATTTAAAATAATGTACCAGCAGCTGGAGACTGAATTCCAGCATGGTTAAGCTGGTGTCAGCACTATGGCCCTGGTTATTTTCTTTGGGGCCATGAACCTATTGTGGGTAACCACTGAGTCAGCAGTAAAACACTGCAACTTAAGGGTCGCACATCAAACACAATGTCTGCACAAATAAATGATTCATGGCCACTTCCAGAGTCGACCCCCCCCCCCCCCCCCCCCCCCAAAGTGTCCTACTTTTCTTTTCTCATTTTCTAAGCCCCCTGATCATAGAGTAGGTAGGACCATCAAGCAAATTATCTTCTCGGATAGAGAAAAAAAAAATTGACGAGGTCCCCTGTGAAGTTTCACACACTTCAATACCTTGGTAGTTTTAAAATGATTGTATGTTCTATGTAGGTAAAACAGCCATGTTCGCAAAAATCAAATGCAATGTGAGATGAAGATGTTACAGCTAGTCACTCCCTGGGCTCCAGCACGGGTACAAGAAGGAGAATATATGGCATAGGTCCTTACCTGGACAATGATATCTTATATCTCAAGAAATCTTCATAGAGTACATTACACAAACACCAATGCACTACTTAACTCAAACGTTTGAAACAAATTACTTTCGACATTACATGAGCAGAATTCTATTATTTTATATACATTTGTTTCAGGCCAAAGTATAGATAACAGATATGAAAGTAAATAATATATATATCAAAGCCTGTTTGATTTATATAAAATCACTTATAAACCTCAAAACAATAGACTCAACCCAAGACTATTCAAGGAAATTTCTTTCCATGTAACAAAACCAAAATTGCAGACTAGCATCAAACACACATGCTAAATCACTGTAAACATATGACCTGTTCCTTAATTTCTACTGCACCAGTTTTAACCACAACTTGTTCCCTTTAATTTACCTTTCAGGGCAATCACTTTGCTCTTTGGATTCATAATGGCCGAGTCTGCTGAAATCTGACGGCGGATTGGATCCGTAGGTGTATTCATGTCAATGATGACAACCTGTGCTGCTTCTCCCACTTTTTCTCGAACACAAATGAACTTGTCTGACTCCATGGTCAGGGTGCTGAATCCAATGTTGGCAGCATTGATGCCAACACTTTGGAGCTTGAATGAAAGAAAAAAGATATAAGACCATAAATTATTATTTAAGAGAAAAGTTTTTCATAAATAATGGTAACATTTTCCCAAAACTATTTTCAACAAAGATTCATAATGCTTATGAAGTTTATCACCAGACCAAATAAATCCTGTTAAAAGGTCTAAATTATCCATCAAATTTTAATAGTCATATCTCCCCCCCCCCCCCCCCCCCCCATATTATACCGTCAGCCTCATCAACCACCTGGTTTTTCCCCAAGTACAAAAAGGAACATGTCTATAAACATAGTATTTATGCCTCACATCTCCATCTGCCGACTGTCCGAGTTGTACGGTCCTTATTAAACTAATGTAAATTTGCCCTGATTTACTACCAGCAAATTGATCACTAAAGGAACACACTGCACATGGCACCCACTCAGTGGCTGCTTGATAATCTCTTTCCCACACGCGGAACTGCGAGCCTACTTCTATTGCTTTTTGGCGATTTTCTCCTGATTTGTGCTGATTAAGAAAATGCAATTATTTTAAGACTTTTGCCAATACTGAAAAAATAAAAAGGCAAAGTAGCGGAGAAACTCCACAGCCACTGAGCCACTTCTGTCAGCCGGCAAAATATCTGACATCACCAGAAAGCAGCTGATAACCAAAAGGCGAGCAGGCGCCTGTGAGGCTTTTATATTATATGAGCACTCAAGTTCTAGTCTACATATACATATATAACAGGTCTAATGCAACCAGAACTGACGGGTATTGGGTAAAAATACAAAAACTACGCCTGCATGGTCTTTAAACACTAATAAGTTTTGCTGGAGCTGTACATGTACGCTAATTGATTTCCACTTATTTTTCCCCTGCACATGGCAATCACACAAAACAAGAGATCTAAATGAGGCATCATGGCTGGCCACTTCGTTTCTAGTCCCTACCACTCTAACACAAGTCAAGACGGCAATCAGTGCTGTCCCATTAGACTATCACTCTACTGTACCATCAACTTCATACTCGGCTCAAAGTAACTTTAACTTACTCCCAAAATACAGTGTATGCCAAAATCCCTTAACTTGCTGACTCCTTGCGTAAATGGGTAAAGTTTTAGGTAAAAAAGATTAAGAAACAGAATTTGAGCGTGTGGACAGAGGCAAGGAAAGCTGGTTAAAACATATTTTCAAAATAGTATCTACAATTTATCTTTCCCCAAAATTTTACGCAGAAGGGAAGGTTTGATCTCACATGGAGAGAACAATGCTTAAACCAAGCAGTAGTAAGCCCATCAGATAAAAAGAAATAAAATTTCAAGACAGGTAGAACATCCTTCCTGACTCTCCATGCAATACCACAGACACACCCCCTTTACACATGAATCTTACTACGCCTATACAACATGAGGTCAAACTGATCGTTTGTCAAAATTCGTGATCATAACAAAAGTTGCAGCCATACATGAAACCATTTCCCATTTGATTATTAATGCCAGTGGGGGTTTTTTTAAGCTGGGCTTGCAAAAAAACAAAAACAAACAAAGCCAAGGTAAGTGAAGAGAAAGTGACAAAGGGGCAGAAAATGAGGCTTCCTCTTGGCCAAGGTTGAATCCAACAAAGAATTTTTTAGGGTTTTTTTTACACCCGTTTCATGTACACCTTTTATATACTTCTTTTCTAGTCGTATTTTGAATGCTGAACACGAATATGGCCTTTCTTTATGCCATAAATCAATAGTTATTGAGTTATTGCTGTTTGAAAACAGAACTATATTACAGTAGGACCAATGGCTTAGTAATATTTGACTTGTTTTTAACAACATGGGGGGGTTGCAAAGGGCATGAAAACCTGACCTAAAAAGAATCTGGGGGGTTTCAGGAGGGCATATGTCCCCCTGCATTTCACCATGATTTATTGTTTTGGCAATTAGGATTGATATTTACTTGAAAACAATTGACTTGCAAAGGTTTTAGTGGCCATACGTGTATTCTGGCACAGCAAATAGGCAGTTTAGCCCTCAAATCAGTGTATCTGTGTATGAGTGTAAAAATAAAAAGTTATCAGAATTTTTTTCCATCTTACTCCTCTTAACCAGATCTTTGCTATCAATTAAATCTTTAAGGAACAACAAATAGAATACTAATAATGTAAAAATATTGTTCGTCTCTCCAGTAAAAAAATATGCCTCACTACCCACGCTTCTGTGTGGGATGTGGGACCGGCCGCTAGCCGGACCATTCGTTGTTTACACACCTAACGATGGCAGGCCTCTTAGCCTGCACACAAATTAATAAACTACCTGCCCGGTGCCATGCCTAGGAACAAAGAGCATTCACAAACCTAACAAGACAAGAGCACGAGATTAATGCTCTTGCACGACTGTATAAGGGTTGTAAATTATTCAGACCAAATGGGCGAAGGCGTTAAATCGTGTTAACTAGTCTAATAATAAAGCAATCCAAGCTCTTTTCTTCATTTTCATTTTTTTTTCTTGCCTCTTCTTTCCCTTTCTTCTTTAACATTTGGAGTTAGGAGCCAAAAAAGAGCCAGAGAGCGAAATGAAATTCTCCGGGCCGGGACGTGATCCAAAAGAGCCAAATTTCAGGGATTTGGCTCCTAACTGACAACCCTGACTGTTACTGTGACTATTTGGACACAATCCTGTGGAGCATCAGCCCCGGTAACCTCAGCCTTGATCCCTCTTAGATCATTTCCGATAAAACTAGGGGGTGAGAATAACGAGACATAGAGGTTATTCTGGTGAGAAAAACTACTTCCTTTCACCTCTCACGCCCACTTCACTCTAGGGAGCACAAAAACCTTTGACTTTTGGAGAAGGCCGGCACTATTTCTCAGAACGTTCGGGAAAATAAAGCTGGGCACTATTTCTCAGAACGTTCGGGAAAATAAAGCTAGGCACTATTTCTCCGAACGTTCGGGAAAATAAAGCTGGGCACTCTGAAATCTCATCCTTTCTCGCAAATTTCGGATATTATATAGATCTATAATTATAGTATAGGCCTACCAAAGATTGTTCGTATACAATATGGTTCAAGCGGTCCAAAAAATGTCCTCAGTGAATATTTATATAAAGAAATGCTACAGTTCCAA